GCGACGCTGTAGCGCGACGCAGTAGCGCGACGCAGTAGCGCGACGCTGTAGCGCGACGCTGTAGCGCGACGCAGTAGCGCGACGCTGTAGCGCGACGCTGTAGCGCGACGCAGTAGCGCGACGCTGTAGCGCGACGCTGTAGCGCTACAAGTGTGAACGGCTGCTAATTCCTATTGAACTACCACTTTGGTGAGACCTGTAGACTCTTGTAAAATGTAAACGAAGCTCGTGCTAATCAAAAGCTTAAAAGAGTTTACAGGGTTACTCGAGATGCGTAGGCAACGGTCGATGAGAACTAGAAAATACCCCCAGTAATCCGAACTGCCCTGCAAGACCAACCCCTCCCACCCTTCCCCTCTCCTGTAGTGTGTTGTGTGTGCTGAAAGGATGTGTCAAAAAATCCATTGAGTCACTGAGCTAGGAGGGTAAGAGCGGCCCTTGTGGCGTAACGGGTAGCGCACTCTCCGGTAAGAGTGAGCCGCGGGTTCGAGTCCCGCTTGGGGTCAAGACTTTTACCTATAGCTCAGTATTCTTGTACTTTGACATCATTTCATAAATCAGTATGTTCTAAAGTTGTGTTCATAATACGTTTGTTCTTCTAAATTCATATTGTATTTCTAGCAATTGATTGTTGGTGAGATTGCTTCCTAGTGAATGCTCTTTATGATGGTGGCATGATAGCATCACAGCTGGGCGACAGTCAGTATCGGAGGCTCTTAGACATATTGTTTCTTTTTTGTGTGTTTTAGAGCTTTTTTAGCCACAAAATCAGATATTTCTTTAAAAGTCAGTAGCACTGGGTCCTAAACGCCACGTAACAATCCTATAGTGCACAAAATATTATATATATATTTATATATTTATTTCGTAATCTAATTTTTAGGTTATGACTTACTTGTTTCAACTTTTCTGAATCAAGAACATATGAACCCAAGAGATCGCTTGCCTCAAGTCTCTTAAGGCTGAATAAGGGTGTTCTTGAAATGCATGGTCTCTCGAAAAACAATATTACCGACGCGTGAATTGTCGCATACACGCACATACTCCCGTTTCCTCGCGTTTGTGTATTGCCCACAATTCACGTTTTGTGAATCGGTATTCTCGTGGATAACAGTGCGACTTGAACCATTCTCACCTAGGTATATGTTTAGTGAACTCTGCTAATGCTTCCTTCTTGATGGCGTGAAATAATCTGCTCATTGAAGTAATTCATTAATATTACAAAGTAACAGTCAGTAATTGAGTGTTATTTTAATTGTTGTGATAGCTCCGCATCAAACTAACAATGGTAGTAGCTACCTAGCGATAATTATGTAGTGTTAATTTAGAACAAATTTTGATAGTTATCACAAGAATGCTGAGTTGTGGGCAAAAGTCGTGCCCCAGGCGGGAGTCGAACCCGCACCTCACGCTTTCCGGGCGAGTGCGCTATCCGTTACGCCACCAGGCCCTTTTACCCTCTCAGCTTAACGGCTTTTATGCCGTAGCCTACAGCACTCACACGTTTAACTTGGTGATAGCTTTTAAATTCATTATAGCATAATTATGTTGTCATAAAACTGACGCTTACAGTCTTCTATATATATATCTTGGACTTTACATCTTCTACGTTGTCCAGATCCATCTATGCAGCTAAAAGAAGTCATCATTCATACTGAACAATGTAGAAATGAGCGCAAAAGTAACCAGAATGAGCGTGTAAAGGGGCATGCGGCACAAAAAAGAACTCTCGTTTCGCGCGTTTGTGTATTGCACGCAATTCACGCGCGCGGAGACGCAGGAAAGTGAAAACGGGAGTCGCAGTAAAAACGCCACGGCGTTCAATGTGTTGAAAATGTTATATAAGAGTGTGTTCTTTTATTGTGTCTGCAATACGGCAATGGCAAGCGTTTCGAGCGTGCAGCAGCCCGTTTGACGACCATGAATGTAGGATATTGTTGCGTTTCATAACTTCGTCAGTGTTTGAACTACTAAGGAAATGTAAGGTATCGACACAGCGTTTTGCGTGTATGTCAGCATACGGCAGCGTTTTGAGCAACTAGGAAAGTTAAATATCGATCTAGCATTTGGAGTGTACGCCAGCGTTTTGAACGTTTCGCGAGTAGATCAAAACTTTTCGCGGGCACCCGCTGAAAACGTTGGCATACGCTGAAGGCGATCGGTACTTATACTTTCGTAGTCGCTCGAAACGCTGCTGGGCCCTTGGAACGCTAATAACACTGATGCAAAGTATGAACGCGGTCTAGTTGTGGAATTAACTGTACAACTTTAACCTGTTTCAGTCGGGTCGGTCCTGGCAGGATCGCCGCTGGCGTTCCTGATCGACAAATTCGGTTACGACTGTTTCATACCGTTCTTCTTCAGTCACATTGCGGTGCTTATAGCAATAACGTCAATGAATATTGCATTCCGTGTGAAAGGCACAAAACAGGATTGAGGGCCTTTGTAGAATTATCCCGGTTGTTTTTCTAGGGTTCAGGGCATTGGTAATGTAATCGATTTATCAAGATGATTATGGTGTGGTTGTTTCTGTTCCTGTAGATTTATGTATGATTCGATAAATTAGTTGTTTTGACCTAAAAGTGATATCAAGAGAATCTGATGAAAAATTTAGTGTTTCTGAATAAAAATTGTTCCAATGAACTACTTTTGACAACGTATTGGTTTTCGTAATCGATTTCATCCGATTTGATGTTTGTTCGCTGTTGTCAGTAGTTAAGAATGTTTCCTGACTACTCCGTTGTCTGTAACAGTAGTCTCAGTCTCGACAAGGAATCATGGGCCCTGGGGGGGGGTGAACGCTCGAGTCAGCGCCTTCCTATCTGTCCTGCGTAATCAAGGCCTAGGCTCAGTGGAAAGCTTAGTGTTCTCTGCAAGACTGTTCCTCGACGGCTCTGGCCATCTGCTCTCTGAGCCTAGACCTTTCTGAGGAGAGGAGTTGTCAGAGGCGCGGCAGAGTTGTTCTTCCCTCTCCCCCAACAGTGTAAGTGCCGAGTCAAACGGGTTGCGATCCCCGTGTGCCGTCCGCTGACTCCTGCCTCGCGCAACGCTCTCGCATGGCACCGACATCAACTGCCTAAAACGCTCAGCCACAAGCGTCTGCTTTTCTGCACCCATCTCACGCTCTGCGTCGCTGTCTACTGACTGCGTGTGTTCATCAAGTTTTGCTATTGCTAATCGTGGCGCATCCTGGACAGTTCCTTATCTTGCTCAATTCAATGCCTTGGTTATAGTGAGGCGAAGAACATCTACTTTGCGCATTCCTTGGTTATAGTGCGGCGCAAGATCGCGGTCTACTTTGCGACGTCGTGCTGATGGAAATGGCGTCACGTGCGCTTCATTCGGACCAGGACCTACACTCTAGTTCGCTGCGCATGGTTGGGCGTGTCAGGCAGTATGAGTGTTGACACCGTCGAAGCCGTTCTCTGCCTTCTTGGAGCGCATGCGATAAAAAGTGGTAGAAGACAAGTAATACGAAGGATATGATGCAGTATTGTCACTTGCCCGCTCCAACAACTGATGGACAACGAGTTTGGCACCGCGCCAAACGCAGCCGCACTGACACGCCTAACCGTTCGCAGCCAGCTACACCATAAACTGGTTTAGCATGGAAGTGCTGCAGCATGCCGAGTCAACTAGCTAGTAATCACTATGCCAGTTTGCGGACGTCGCCGCAATGTGGATCTCCCGCACCCCTTTCTTTACATTAGCTGCCCGGTCACACTCGAAAGTTGCATCGCTAGAGAAATACAGTGGTTGGTTCGCTTACGGATTTATGGGGCCACAGCGCTGGTTTGCAACGTCCGCAAGTCTATTTCCAACCAGTTTTCAAGAGCATAAATGAAAACAACTAATGAAAAACGACAGGTTCAAACGAGTTGGCGTCGTGCCAAACGCAGCCGTGCGGACACGTCTAATCATATCCGTCGCAAGTGAACCAGCTAACCATTGCTCAGAAGGTCATGGGCGGAAGACACTGGCAGAGTTGTGGCTAGTCTGGATGGCTAGGACCGATCGATATGGTGGAGATCGAGTTAAATTAACAGTTCCAAGTTAACCTGCTTGGTTGGCGGATCTATCGCTACGTTGTGCACTTACGTGCGAAAACATTGGGATCCGCCACCCATGTGGCACCCCCGTGCGTTCACTCGGCAGTTCGAAGCCCCGTGTTGTGCAGGAGCACTAGATGTAGGTTGCTTTTTGGTAGGGTATAGCATCATAGTACTTAATATGCGGTAGCGTGGCTCGCTGGCTCATTTGAACCAGTGGTTCTTCGGCGTGTAGCGCTTGTGCTCTGTGTGGATCTTTCATCTTCAGGCAATTCTACATTATAGTCATTGGCAAAATCAAAGAACTATAGTACAGTTGTGCCGGAATTGTAATGTCGCGCCGTTTCATGTTCATAATGAAGTAACGCGACACCACGCCTACGGCGCGTGTAATGGAGCTGCTGGAGGTAACCTAGAACCGGGTATTTCTATCTTAGTTCAGGATCGCAAACACAAGTGTAGACTTTCAGAGTGGTCCATTCATTCATCTAACCCGCCTAAATTGCTTTCAGAGCGGCTTTATATCCTTTTATATACACAACTATCAGAAGAAGTCCGGTGCAGGTGAATCGAACACTCACGAGTGGCAATCACTTTTTTGAATAAATGGAGTGATGAGAGGTGTCCTTGTTCGCGTCAATTGTAACAAGTGTAACCGTGTTGCTAATGGTAAATGTAAGTGCAATCGTTAACTGGTAATCAATTCGCCATTCGTCGATACGACTCACTGACCTATAATTCCGCGATTCGTCCTGTTATGCAAGTGAAATTGCACGTCCTGGCCTGGCTTACGCCCATTTTACAGTTTGTCCACCTGGCGTATGCATTTTTAGTGTGATTTCGCTTAGAATTTCATATAGGGAACTTTCATTTGCTATAAAGGCTCTGAATTGGATTATTTGTCTGTATTTTAGTACGATTGAGAGGAAAGGGTAGCTGGAAAAAGTGGAAATGGCAGGCGTGGTGCTCGGTATTTTTGCCGCTGCATCGATTTTGATGATGATTTCATTACATCACATTGAAGAAGGTCATGTTGGAGTTTACTTTAGGGTACGTGTCTTTACTGAGCCTTTGGGTGGGGGCAAGTATTATTTTGATGAAATATATTTAAGGGTGGCGCTTTGTTAACCAAAGTTAGCGCACCAGGATATCACTTGTGAATGGTTCCTTTTTGTGACGTCGTTAAGAAGTGTTGCAGGTGGGTTCGCTTCTGCATAGATTTGTTTTGCGCTTTATTTCATTAGTAAATAGTTTTTAAAGATTGGATTGGAAGAAGTGCTTTATCCAACCTTGGTGGGAAATACATTATTGTTTAGAAAAACGATAGTGTTACAATCTTGTTCACTGCGAATGATGGGGCGTGTTGGGAGGGATGGATTTGGCGCGTAGCTGCTCAAGCGAGCAAGTAATAAGACTGTATAATGTCGTTCGTATTAGTCGCTTTCCACCAATTGGTCGCTTATCCGCTTCAACAAATGGTGGAGAACGAGCTGGCGCCGGTGCCAAAAACAGCCTCAGATACGCCTGTTTTATGCGCTGCGAACAAGACTACATCTTGGGAGACGGACAAGAGAATCGTGAATTGCCGCTTCGTCGCGCGCGGCAATGGGCGCGACGTTTCCTTAATTTGCACCCCTTTCGATTGGAGCATCGGATTTCATGTAGAAAGACATGGTGGACATTTATGTCTATTTTTGGTCATACATTGTCCATTCTCGACCAATACCACCGAAATCGTCGCCATTCGCGGGCGCGACACCACAGCGGCGCCATTGTGCGCGGCGGATAACGATTCTCTTGACACATACCCCTACATCTTGCTTTCTTGCCCGCAGCGGCAAAAACTGCATACGCTCGCAGTTGCGGTGCAATTTGCAAGTTCAGCTCGTTTCGTTGCGAGTTGTAGCCGCCTTGCCAGTTTTGTATCGCCACCATCGTCTCTTTTCGAAACAACATCCTCTCAGGGCTGCCCATCAGTATTTCAGGCGGCGATAAACTCTAAAAAAAGCAGTTTACAGTGAACAGTACGGAATCGAGACGTGGTTTCAGGTCACATTACAAACAGATGAAGCCAAAAACGTTCCCTGTGGTACAAGTGGAGGTGTCATGATATACTTCGACCGAATTGAAGTTGTTAATATTCTCAGTGCCAGCAGTGGTGAGTGTTTTTGGTCGATGTAGCCACACACGTATAGTCTCGTTCACTGCTGATGATGGGGCGTGTCAGCGCGCAGCTGCCCTTGACCGGCGCCAACCCCTATTCTTATCTTCTTTTCCTTTCGGCAAGCGACAAGGCTGTATAATTATCGTTCGTACCAGTCGTATCCCACCACTTCTTGTAACTCACCCGCTTCAACAATTGCTGGGAAAATGTGTTTGGCGGCGCGCCAAACGCAACCGCGCTGGGCTCCAAACGCCCCTTCATCCACAGCGAATGAGACTGTATCCTATTTAGATAAAACTTGCCATTCTATTTCAGTATATGACATTGTGAAAAACTACACGGTAGACTATGATAAACCGCTTATCTTCAACAAAGTCCATCATGAAGTTAATCAGTTCTGCTCAAGTCATTCGCTTCAGGAGGTCTACATAGACTTGTTTGGTAAGTGAACTGGATTTTTAAGAGGTGTTCTGCTTTCCATTCCAATACACCGCGGCATTTTGGTGCAGTAGGACTTCTCATTCCGGTGATCTTAAATTGACGTAAGCAGTTCTTTAAGGTCATGCATGTTACCGACATAGTTTCTGCACAATTTCTTCAAGCTTTTTTCATAATGGGCGACATTTAGTGTTGAGGTGTAGGTGCAAAGTTGTCCGCAAGCTATTGGGATTAGGATCAAATCCTAGGTAGAATGAGGATCCGTATTCGATGAAGCGGTCATCCTGCCCCGGATGTCGTCCTCACCCAGCCCTGGGCAAGAAGTTCCTCTCAAAGGTTCATAGCAACAGAAAATATATGTTGGTTTGAAAATATGGTTTGAAATGCCTTGTGTGGTCCACTTATTTTAGGCCTTCAACATAGCGTCGTCGAATTTTGTCTATTGACTGAGATTCCTTAAGTGGTTCATTCTCTTCAACCTGTTTTAGATCAAATCGACGAAAACCTTAAAACAGCTCTACAGGAAGATCTGACAGTGATGGCTCCAGGTCTTTTTGTCAAGCGGTGAGGGTAACGAAACCGAAGATACCTGAAGCTATTCGTCACAATTATGAACAAATGGAAGCTGAAAAGGTACTGCTCGTCACAAGGCTTTTGCAAAAATGATTGTCATTATCTGTGGATAAACACACTGTATAAGTGGCGGCCGCTGCGTTTTTGGTGGGACACTTCGTTTTGGCAGAATTGTATTAACGTCTTTGTCCAACGGAGAGGAAATATCAGTTGCCTAGATTGAAAAATATCTCATCCCTGCGTCCATATTCGAAAGCTAAGTGCCCAGGGGATATGGAGAGCATTTGCGATCCAGACCGTGGTTTGCGATGAACAGCGTCAGGTATGTGGCTCTCTGGATGACCGTACACCTGAGAGGGCGTGGTGGGAAGTCTCACTTCGCGACGGTGCACAGAACCAGCAGAAATCCCTAGCTAGTGGGCCAGGAGTTGTGTAGCAGTTCCAGTTAGAGATCAGTCAGGTCCTGGATCGAATGCTGCGCTTGTGACAACACTTGGAACACCGCATCGCTCGAACATGAATGTATCTTCGAACACCCTAGATTTCGCAAGCAGTCCCCTTATGCAATCTGTAACGAACCGTCATATCAGTTGTGCCTCATGGTTGGACCCAGAACCCTTTGATGGGGGAGGAGGGTGGGGTTGCACTAATGCTGCTTCACATGGTCGTGTCGAACCGTCAAGTAGAAATTTGTGAAGTTTGGTGAAACCGTGAAGTGACACTAGGTTTGTAGGAACTACTTGCCAACTTTGTAACACCTATCAACCCTTGTAAAGAGCGAACCTGACAATGGGAAGCAGCGATAGTGCGAAATGCTCTCACCCCGTGGACGAACTGCGTTTGCCTTTATTGTAGGTCGTGAGGTAAGTCGCGAGTGAGGTAAAAGGACTCGTACTCGTAGTTGTGGTGCTTCCAAAACTGGTACTGTAGAAACATTCATCTACATACTGTAGCCATGAACTTGACATTTGCAGACAGTCTTTTCTATATACTCTTTAGACCAAGCTTCTTGTGGCTGTACAGCATCAGAAAGTTGTTGAAAAGGAGGCAGAAACTGATCGGAAGAAAGCAGTTATTGGTATGATACGATAGCTGTACATTCTTGCTCGCTGTGGATGAAGGGCGTGTCAGTGAGGCTAAGGTTGACGTAACGCCAGTTAGGTCTCCACAAGCTGTTGAAGCGGGCGAGTGACAATACCTTGTGGAAAATGGCTGATACGAACGATGTGATACAGTCTTGTCGCTTGCCGAAATAAAACAGGCTGATGCTTTGTCAAACCCATCCCCTTGTCACGTCTCATCATCCGCACCGAGCAATACTGTAACTGTGATCCTAAATGTTTGTTCTCGACTTCAGAAGCTGAGAAAAAGCCCAAGTAGCTGCAATCATGCATAAACAAACGATTGCTGAGAAAGAAACACAAAAGAAAATCAGCCAGTTGGAGGATGAAAGTCACCTTGGTTCGTTTTTCTCTGAGGATTTGTGCCCAAAACGTATGAAACGCCTAAGATATTGTGAATTGTGATTTAAGCGTCTCAGAAAGCGAAAGCCGATGCGGAATTCTACAGAGCACAAAGAGAGGCTGAAGCTAATCGTCTCCTGCTTACTCCGTGAGTTTCCTTACTGACCTTTCAGTGGGTTTGTGGTACTTTCAGTGCAATTAGCAGCTTCTCTGCATGGATGAAGTTGCGTTTATGTTTTCTAAGAGCACGTTCATACTTCGCGACTCTTATGCTTGAGCCGTCGGAGTTTAGGAAGGTAATGGTACTGAAAGTGCCTCATCGCTGGTTGTTGGACCACTGCATATTCTAATTCAATCACATCAAAAGCGAAACATCTCCGACTTTCGTCTAAAACAGATGTTATTGAA